GTCCGGAGATATCCAAGGCGTTCGATTCAGGGCTTATTGGTGCATAAAATTGGTGGTGCACGGCTGCACTCCCCGCCAACATCCCTTATGACGCCTACCACTTTACTATCTATTTTGTTAGCAAAATAGCAAAACTGAGCCCAAACTCTCTAACGCGAACGAAAAGCTTTATGGTTGTTAGGTGGCAATTGAATCCTCAATATCATGTATTATACGGTTTTATTTACGGTCGGCGAGTAACGTGCAATTTGCTGCAGGCTGGCGGCTTATGTAGCATTGACGGTAATTCAGCTCATACACGTGATGAAATTGGTGTATTTTTTGCTGTCTGAAAGCCTTGAGAGTAAATGCATGCACTGCAAATGGTTAGAACTACCTTAAATTTAAAAATTTTCTATTAATTTCAAATGGGGCCTTTTTGGGCCTTTTTTGTGGGTCAAATTGGCCTTTTTCTCTTGGCTCCATCTGGCAACCCTGGTCACTATTGCAGACTGCGCATTCACGGAGAGACTGTCATCAGGGTCGGATGTGTGGTGCTGCGACAGCTCATCTTTCCAATTTTTGAAATGTCAGCGATTAATCGTTCTGTGAGTATAGTTCCATTGGCGCATTCTTTACCCGATTGTAGTTTAACCTTCAAGTATTTCTTTATCTGTCTGTCCATGCAAATTTTAGCTTGACGAGTAATGATCAGTTGATCACTTAGCTCTTGCAAGTTGCAACTATAGCGATACAAGAGATGTGAGGTGAAGACTAAGGATATTGGGTTTGGCCGTTAACTTCATAACATGGGACTTCGGAAACTACAGACAGGGGCATTGTAGCGCATCTCCATGGCCTCGAACCCTCGAGTTGCGTCATTGTAAAATCGCTCAAATCAAAATTAAAAAACAATAATGGGGCGGAGTCAATGCCTCAATGGTCATATCATATAATCCCTAATTCAGTAATTGGAGTCGATTTTTGTATATTCTGACATAAAGCCAAATTTTTAAACCAGCTGATCAGTTTTTTGCTTACAAATGGTTTGAAATTTGTTTCCGAAAATTGTGCAGCCTACATCATTTGATTATAGGTAATGTTAGTCGAATTTTACGTACATGGGATTTAAAGAGTAAAGACTACGATCTTTTAAGGCTACGAAAATCCATGTACCTACTAGTAGCCTACATGCAGTCGCAGATTTGCAGCGCAGGTTCTGTTTAATACGTCTTGACATTAGTTTGATTTAGTCGCATCATCGCATGTGGGTCTCAGGGTCTGATTATTTAATTCTATCTAATTTAGCCGCATTAATTTATTTAATTTGAGATGTAATGAAATCGCTCGTTAAAGTGGCATTAGTAATGGTTTTAATTTTAACAGCATGTGCATGAGCATCGAATGCATTGTGTTGTGTGGTCTAGAAATGGCATGCCCTGTTATTAGGCTGTTAACTTGACAATTAGTGAATTACACGACAATTAGTGAATTACACTCGCTAAAAATAAAGTGATAAGTCTGGTACAATATTTTGTTTCTTTGTTCTGGTGTAGGTATGTGCTGAAAATTGGTAAGAGTGCATTTCATGGTCTTGGGCCGACTTGGGTTTGGGGGTGCATTTCACATTCACATTGCCTATATTTAAGTTTAGAGAAAATGGGAACAAATATAATAGCTCTGATATTGCACGCTGTTGAACTATTGATTATGAAACTCGCTGAATGCGGCTTGATTTGTCAGTTTTCCTACGAAACGTTTCTTTTGGCTATATGGGCAACTAATCGAAGGTGATTAATGATTATACTATGGAAACAATGTTGTATTACTTGTATAGACTATAGAGATTTGAATCAGTCGTTTGAAAAATTAATTCTAAACGATCCATTTTCATCTGCTTTTCATTGTTAGTTCGGGAATGAGCATCACCTAACCTACTGCTGGCCGGCTATTTTGAGAGGAGTCAAGCATGTGTTGCGCCGCCCGTTTGTATGACAATTCCAGCAGTCGAAACGAAACGTTTCGAAAGTTCAAGCTAGTTGAAACTACTGTTTCAATTATTTGTTATTATAGTGTACTTCGAAAGTTCGAATGTAAAACGCGCATTGAAAGTAGAGCGCAGAAGGCATTTATACTAAATCGAGATTTCATTGTGGATTACGGGATTGGGAACATCGACCAGCAAATATACAAGTGAATATAAAATGCTGGGTTATCCTAAATGGTGAACCAATTTGATACATTCGTAGTTATTTAAGTATAAATCCAAAATGAATACTTTGTACTCCAATAGTAAGAGAAAGATTCAAAGTTTCTTTTTAATATTTATAAATGTTCAATATATTAACCATTTGCTCTGTGCTGCATTGCAAACCTCTAAACGGATCCGTTTGTGCCAAACTAGGCGAGTCATTTTCTTGTTATAGGTAAAGTTGCTGGTGGATTTGGTACACCCCATTTGTGTACATTGTGTCTGCTGACTTTTCTTTTAGGTGGAACTTAGCCTCATCGCTATAAATGATGCTTGCTTGAAATCAGGCGTCCTCCATCACGTGTATCATATCATCACAAAATTCAATACGCTTCACTTTATCCTCAGGTTTTATAGCCTGCACAAGTTGTAATCAACGTAATCAATAGGGTAAGTTGTAATCAATAGAATAAGTTGTTATCAATAGGATAAGTTGTAATCAATAGGGTAAGTTGTAATCAATAGGATAAGTTGTAATCAATAGGGTAAGTTGTGAGAGATAGGTTAAGAAAACTTTGAATCTTTCTCTTTTCATTAGTGAATGAATTATTCTTTTTGAATTTATACTAAAATATATACGAATTACGAAAATCGGGCTATCAGTAACATTAAATTAAATGTGATGCCCAAGTTTTCCTCGACAAGTTGTGGGAAAAGTTAACGAAGAAGTTGACATTTCTCCATAAGATGGAAGATAGGGAGAGCTATAATTGTCATGACACGCGGTGCCCACTTGAACTAAATCGGTCGCCAAAGACCGCGAACAGATAAAAATTACTGCAGAAGAGGCATCACCTCCGTGGTTAGTATAGGTGAAGACATTATCTTGAAAGTTCCGAGCGAACTACCTGTGATGTTGATGCGTTCGTAGGTAGAAACTTTCAGACCCAGGCCATTTCAAGTTGCCTCTTAACTCCAATTATTTACATACAACGTTAGTGTATTGATAATCTCACTATTTAGTTGATAATTTCGCCATTTTGCCTTGCAGAACGGTGGTAGAAGTATAAAATTTGTAATAATTTTTAATCGGAAACTCTGAAAAGGCAAGACGAGGATAATTACAAGAATTACGTTAAATTAACGAGTTACGCTGAAATTAGAAGCGTTGGGCCTTGATTCGGCCTCTTTGGTATAGTAGGGTCGTCGTTTGTGATTAGGTTACTCCTGGCCTGTTGACGATTTTCACAATGTTGCATCTCAATCAACCTATTCAATATCTTGCAGCTTGGCATGACATTGAACCCAAATATCCTCAATAATTGGAACTGTTTTTACCAAATCTTTTGTTCACTTCACGGACGTTACTCACAATTTTTTCAGTTATGAATGTCTGAGGTAGTGACTTAACAGTACTTCACGGACATTTACTCACAATTTTTTCAGTTATGAATGTCTGAGGTAGTGACTTAACAGTACTTCACGGACGTTACTCACAATTTTTTCAGTTATGAATGTCTGAGGTAGTGACTTAACAGTTGCACCAGTGGATGTAGAATCTCTTCAGAATATAATATTTTTCAATTTTTGAATTTTTTAGATGAAATTACTTTGGTGCTATTAATATTAATTTTAATTTCTTCTTTATGTATATTGTGTGCCTTACAAATGTTGACTCCACTAGCGGGAAAGTATTCGTGTCCTCGATACTGGAAAATTCTTACGTTTGCTCTGCTGTCTATGTCCCACCCATCGAATTTATCAATTTGGTTTAATGTTATAAATTAACGCGGAATTTTTATAACGGAATTAACGCGGAATTTTATAAATTAATTACATTTATAACGCGGAATTTTATAAATTTTGTCAAGTTGATAAATCTCTTAGAGATGAATTTTTTTATTTAGATATTGTACTTGGAATATTGAGCGGACATGTGATGATCGACGAGCTAAGCACTAAATTTGTGTGGTATTTTCGGAAAAACAAGTTACTATTAAATTGATGTAGTTGCAAAGTCAATAATTGCATAATTAGTCCAAACTCTATGTGGAATGATCTTGGAGGCTGGAGCGGAGCATTACGTTCGTGTACGACATAATCGTTATGCAGCGTTTCAAAGTAGATTAGCTGTCTTGATACCTCACTTATTCTTTTCTAAATGCTCAGCAGCTTTGTTGCTGCACGATTTTTGACCGATTGTCCTAAGGCCATCTCATCATGATTGGGTCGACAGAAAGCTCATTTGCGTGCAGATAACAAATGATTTCATACAAGTAAATCTGTTGACCAATTAATATCGAATTCCGCAGTTCCTCTCCGTATCAGTTGCACCCAGATTCTGCGTATTGCTATGCCTCTTAAATGCAATAAAACTACAGCTGACTCTCCTCATAGTTCCCTTGTTTCGAATTTACGCCTGAAAAACTTATACAAGTAAATTTGTTGACCAATTAATATCGAATTCCGCAGTTCCTCTTCGTATCAGTTGCACCCAGATTCTGCGTATTGCTATGCCTCTTAAATGCAATAAAACTACAGTTGACTCTCCTAGTTCCCTTGTTTCGAATTTACGCCTGAAAAACGTCCCAAATTTGCGCTTTCTTCCTCACCCGAGCGTCGCCCTGATCGGTTGATTACTCAGGCATGCGCGGCTGCCGTGAAAAATTGTCTTCATTCTCAACCGAATTAATTATGCAAATTATTTCAAGTACACGTTAGGATCAGACTTGGTTTCTAGCTTATATCTAAAGGAATTTTAAATTTCGTGATTAATAAATATTCATAGCAAATGCCGTATACTTTTCAGAGAATTGTTTCTTTCTTTCAGAAGAGCATGATGATCATGCAAACCCAATGCGAAGCCACTTCGCAGCCTGTTGCCCCACACAACAAGCCTGGTGCGAATGCTGCTGCAGAAGCTCCTGTAAAACGTTCTGGTAACAAGTCTGACCACGACATTTGTTTCTTGCATTCGTGCCCTGTCGAATTCTGGTGTTTCAGGTGCCAAGTTGCCACTTGCAGTAATTGTATTTCAGAGCCTCATTATGCCCATGGCCAGATTTCATTAAAAAATTTAGTTCGTGAGGAATTGTTCGTTAAAGAAGTGAAATCATCCCTCATTGGCGAGCTCGGATACCTAACAAAGTTTTGCCTTGAAGATGCTTTGAGCCTTTGCGACAAAGGATTGGAATTTATGGCATCGATAAAACCGATCGAAAATGAACTATTGTCTTGGAAGAAACATCTCCAGGATCAGCAAATGAAAATGTCGGCTTCTAATTTTATGAAGACAACCTGTGAGACTACTTCGAAAGCAGAAGTTGATGCTTTCCTGAAGGTCATGTCACTCTGTGATGTGGAGGGAACAGCTCTTGCTTCAAAATTCAGTTTGAATGAGCTCAAACTATACGCTATTGGTGCAGATTTCAAGGTAATGATTGATGAATTCTAATCTCTGTTCATTTTTTATCCTTTTGTTGTTCTGCCAATTTACATCGCAGTGTAAATTTAACGACTCAATCTCAATGTGATGCATTGTTGACGATGGTAGAAAAATATGACGATTGAGATATGAAAAATAGTTGTTTGTTGATTGAAAATGTGCGTTGTTCAATTATTTTCATTAGTTTGAAAATGATTGTCTTGATATCCAAACGTCATTAGTTGAAGATATTACATGATATTGTTTGCCCTCAGTTCATTCCATTCATATATTCTATACCTAAATCTGTGAGAAGCACGTCAAGTTGGAGAGTTCAGACTGTTGATTATATTTTGTTATTGTTCACGGCACGAACCAACACTTTCTTGAAATGCCCGCAGTTGTGGCATCGACTTCTAGAAACCCAGAAAAAAAGTCTTCTTCCTGAAGAATTTTCGTGCGTGGACCCAGAAATTGTTGAAGGAGAAATAAGGAGCAAGAAGATGGAGACCGTACAAAGAGGCGAAATTGAAACAGTCACCGTGATATCCTCTGTAAAAGAACCCATCTTAAACTTACAGGACCTGCTGAAAAAATTGTACGAAGAGGGTTGTGGAATTCACCTATGCTTGTTAGATACTTTTTTCCGCGGCAGCTGTGACGGTACTAATGATTCCGTGAGGTTGAACCTTTTCCTGCACCGAGAGTTTGGGTACGTGGAATTAGTTTGCCAGCATGTCGCACAAGTTTCGCATTACGCCTGTCTTGACAAATTTTTATAGTGACTCACTGACTGCTTCTATCTTATCATTGATCATTCACTGTTGCTTTTTGAACATAATGAACATGTATCTTGCAGGGAGCGCCTAGCATCGTTCTACGGTCACCTCACGCACGCCGCTTGGGCCAAGTTCGGTGTTGCTGGACTGCCTAAGCTTGGGCTGCACCTCCAGTCTGGAGCTAAAGTGACTGATGTCAACAAGATTTTGCATGACAACAGCGGTGCTGAGACTGACAATGAGCCAAGTAGGGTTTTTGCTCGATTGATTTACCTACATTCGTTGTATTTTTTGTTAGCCATCGATTGTCGTGCAGTTGATTACACCAATCATATCATTCAATTAGTTTAAGATTTTTATTTAAATTGGTTGAAAAATTTACGATTCTTGATGAAAATATTGGGACCAAAAAAATTGTGAACACTCAAATGCTTTTTAAATATATAGTTGAATATATATTAGACTGTTTATCTATTCATTATTTTGTGATTTGGCTAAACATGGCTCAGGGCCTCTGTATATAAGCAGTCATTTTTGTTTTCTGTTAGTTTGTTTGGAAATGTTGATTTTAACATTGTAATAGTCGTTTTTTATTGCCTTACATTAGAATTGTTCTCAAACAACTGCAAACTTACATATTTGAAGGCAGTATTTAGGACACTAATGATTTACAATTATTGAACTGCTACACAACGGTAGTACATGGAAGGTGTTCCATTATATAGAAATTGTAATTATACTATTATGGCAAATATCTGGGTTGCAGTAAAATGAACATAACTTACCCCAGAGGGAAAATCAGTAGATTTAGAAAAAAATGAGTTGCAAAATACCGAATTAAACAAATTATGCTCCCCATTCATCGCAATCAAATAACGCAATGCCTGACGGTCGCACAATGCTAATGAATGAACGTTAATGTTGTGTACGAACCTTGACAGTCATACTGGGAGGTAATTTTTTTTTGCAGACCATGGCGAAGCATCAAATCGGGAGGGTGCCTCATCATCGTTCATAAGCAGAGCAGCGGTTTTGAGTGGCCGTAGGAAAGTTGTCTCGAATCAAAAATCAGTAAAAGAGGGGACCAAAGCGCCCTTCGTTGCTGGTACAGTGACTAATTGAGTGTCATGAATCCTGTACAATTATTACTCGTAAATCTTCTATTCGAAAGTCTGTTTTTCTTCAGTTTTTAAATTGAAAATAGGGTATTATGGGATGGGACTTCTCCTATTATTAGATATTTTGAATTCCTTTATTACTTTTGACTTATATTTTTTTGGCATGTGGTTGGAAGACAATTTATGAAATAGATAATGATTATTATCTTATTATCCTGTGTAGCAAAACTCTAAATGATAATATAATGGATATTAGGTGTCGCGTTTTATAATATTTAAACTTTCAATTTAATTTAAATCTCGCTTCTACGCCATTAGATACGTTGGATTAGATTATATCATCAGATAAACTTTTCCATTTAGTAAGAAACTGACATAATAAACATAGGAGACCATTAAAACGTAAAATAGTTTTTCAAAATTTGTCTGCCTTCTTAGATATTGCGATCAACAAGAGGGTAAAGGCGACCGATATTACGCAAAGTCTCGAAGTGGAGCCCAACAGGAAATATCGCCTGCACTTGGTGAAACTGAAAGATCCCGACATGGACTGGTGCTGCGCAGTCATGAAGGCTTTGCTTCCTCAGATCCGTTATGATTTTGACCGCGTTTTTGTTTCGGGAGGCGAACTGTGAGTTTGATAATGTCATCTACGTATTTCAGCAATATAATTATCATTGTAAAAAATTCTTGTCGAGGTTTGAGTGTTTTTCATAAACTGTACCTTAAGAGTTGGATTCAACGGGATGCTTAGTTTTTATTTGACAAATTTGTTGAACAAGAGCCGTTTCTAAAACAGTGGTTCACAAGATGGAGGAATTATCCTATATCAATAATTTTGAAGTAACTTAAAATGCTTAAAATTTAGCCGTACATTTCAATGGTGACAACGTGTGAAAGGCTAACCTGAGCATGTTAAATCGGCTAATAATGTAAGATTTTGAGATCCAAGGAGGCAGTCTTGCCCTTAATTTGCGAGCTGAATATAATCAGGCCGTTTATTGGCTAGTAGCTTAGTAAGATCCCCAACAGGAATGAGATTATTCATTACATTAGTTATCTGATGCACGGTTACGACTCCTCAATTTACTCATTGTGTGTTAGTTGTTCCTGATTTACGTTCTGAAAAAGGGAAGTAGGCTCAACAAATTTATTGTCATACATCAAGATCAAATTTGGAAGAATATGAATGAAATATGGAGTTATGAAGTTTAAAAGTGTGCTGTATAATGTCGCATTTTACTTACTTACTTACTTAATCGCTATTCTCGATGTTCATGGTCTGTAGGGCAGGTATGAATTTTTATGGATTTATTGTTCCTCTGCTAATATATGCAATACTTTCAGTAACCACGAGCTGTGGATTCACGAGTGTGGAACCTTATCACCCGCCGTCATGAGACAAGTGAGGCAATATTTGGCCGATTATACGAGCATCAAAGTCGTAAGAGTGAATGCTTATTCATTCAGCCAGGATCAACAAGTGGAGATAACCGCCCCATATGCCGAAATTAAAAGTCGATTTGCTAGAAATAAGTCGCCCGTGTTTCGTAGTTTGCCAGTGTACTTCAGCATTCCACGGCTCTAATCTTTGAAGTCCGAATGGGTGAAATGTGAAGCTCGCGCAAAGGTATGACATATATTCAAATATAACCATTGTGTATATTTTTTAGCGTTTCTTACTCTTTTGTGAGTCCCAATACTTGTGCCTGAAAAGTCATTCTAACTTTTGCTGTGGAGGCCGATTTTATGATTTGATTTGCGTCTCCTCAACATTAACCAGTCATAACCAAATTTTTAACCTGTTTTAATTGCATTGATTACTTTTATTTATTTACCACATTGATTATCGATTCCCCTGCCAACTGAAACTTTGGTTAGTAAGAGAAAAATCTAAACAAATTTATAGATACATGTATGTAGTCTCTAACTAAAAAAACTCAAGGTGCTCTCTAAATGTTCATTGGAGCTGTTATGTAGTTAATTTTTCCGGTCTTGCTATCCCATCCGATACTCTCAATTTTCCTCAATAGATTTATCTGGCATTCTATATGAATTGTTTTAGCTTGCAGCGTGTACAGGAGGTCTCCAGATATCTCGCGAGGAAAAATCTTGGAGCTCCTGGCAGGTATGATGGAGCAAGGTGAATAGTGATGGTTGACGCGCAGATGTCATAAGCGTATGTTGAAGCTGTACGCAGATTCGCATTTTGCGTGGATGTTGACGTGGTGCTGAGATGTGCAAAGGAGTTAGGAACCTTCTGGTTATATAGCTGTATAAAGCTGATATATAATCAGGCTTGCACTCTGTAATTAAGTTCACGGTTTATTTCTTTATAGTTAAGACACTGGTACTTTCTGGAAATTTCAAATTTAACGGCGGATGTTGTCTATTCCACTTCTTTTTTGCTTGGTAGTTTGTTCGCAATATTATTGTCTTACCTTTTATATATATTGGTCCGGGAATTTCTTCGTATTTTTTTGCATTTAGAGTTGTGAGAGCTTCACTCTGAAAACAAACATGATACACGCGTTTAGGGATGTTACGCTCCATTCATCTTATTGTATTTACACCCTTTCTCACGGGGGTATTTATGTCCCGTGTTAATATCCTCCACTTTTCGAGTCGGGCCAAAATTGTTGTTCCTTCTTGAAAGCTATTTTTTCTCACTTTTTCCGAAGAAGAAAATGTATCAAGATATTTTTTAGACTTGGTAACGAATGGGTCGGAACTTGCGTTTGATTATGAGTTTTTTAGGAATGGAAAATTCAGTTTCTCGTTGCTTGTTTTGTGTTTCTTCATAATCTTTTAATCCATCATTTTTTGATAGTTTAGATTGGCTGTTGAATGAAGTCGATAATTCGATAAATTGGAAAACAATTTCCTGATTTGATTTATGTTTTCATTTGCCATTTGTTTCGTAGTCGCGTAATAAAAATGCATTCATTGCTAGTCGTTGCATTGTTGCGTTCCATTTTCTAGTTGAAAATTGGCGAAAGAGAGGGATAATTACTTATTCGTTTATGATGTGAATAAGCCAGTGAAGATAAATAGATTGTAGCACATATACTATATTTGTTTGCTGTATTTTTTTGTGAAAGGTTTATTTTTATTACTATAGAATCAATTGATTGGCCGAAATTCACACACCAGGGAAGAGTCAGCGTCATAATCAAGGACCGCAGTGTATTACTATTATTGTGTTTTTTTTTTTTTGTTTCTAGTTGTGCGTACGTTTTCTAGCTTTTTGAAGGCGTTTTCATTCAAGTCAATGGAAACGCGATAGCAAATATGTGTGCACTAACCTGTGTTGGTGCACAATTCTTCCCACGTATATAAATTTAGATGGTCTATCAATTTTATTTCAACACGTGCCATCCGACAAGTAGACGGAATACATCGTGTGGCCAAAACCGTCTTGGGAAGAAAATTAAGTTTCTTTGGGTAATTTTGTTATATATAATCGAGGAAATTGGTTTGAAGAGGCTGGTTTGAAACAGTTATCGGGTTCAGAATGAAATGTTAAAGAGCAATAGGGAAATGTTGCCTAGGTAGTGGATGAGAAGGAGTTTTGAATATCATTTCGAAAATTTTGAAAGCACGGAACAGGAAATAAAGGTTGGGTTAGGTGCAGAAAAATGAAACTGTGTGGACAAAAGCAGCGGAGTTAGGCTTCCTTGGAGCTTATTTTCTCTGCAGATCATTACCAAAAAATATCCTCTGTTGTAGGTCAGCAACTGTTGTAGGTCCTGCCTGATGTGTGTTGATTGGCTTACACAGGTTGTTTAATTTGTATTTTTTTGTTAACCTGAAATCCATTCTAATATATTGAGCGGAAAGCGATTTAAAAACTCGAAAATCACTTCATAGTTTATTTATGGAATTTTTAGGCCAAATCTTAGCTATTACCATAGATTAATTATCTTGGTTTGATTATCATATGCGCGAATTCAACTTGCAATTCAGTGTTCCATTATATATACGATTAATTTTTATTTTGCAGTCGTAAAATAACAGCTCTGAATTGACCAGCGTTTAATAAAAATGCGCATGTTCTTGAATATAAAACAAAATATTTCAGCACGTATGTGACTGTCACTGATACTCGAACAGCAGTGTAATACGAAACCTCTCGTCCAGCTAAACTCTAGTTCACACCCATGCTTACATATGACTAATTCGCATTTTATTTGTTCACTGTAGCCGTGCACTTGCAAACGTACGTACTGTACGTGATAAGACTTTGAAAAATCAAATATACAGAACTGCTTTCCCAGACAGACGCTTGCCGATATTTTGCTTAACATAACTTGCAGTCTATAATATTGGCGGATTTGATACTAATTTCAATTTTCAGGTCAATCAAATGACAGCCTGGTCAAACCTTATTGAAAATGGATATTTTTGTATCGTGTTACATGTATCTTGTTGAACTGTGTAATGGAAATGTTCATATTCTATGTATCCTGCACACATTCCGATGTTTCTTTGCATCACTTATGTCATAAATTTTCATTGTCAATTTAAGTCTCTTGTGATTTTTTCATCGAAATCCTCGTTGTTTGGGCGCTATCCTATTTTCTTGCCAGCTATGAATTCTGTCGCGTTTGAATTTATTCATATAGCCTATAAAATTAGAATTATTACAATCACAATTGAGGTTTTGAATGGCTGGATAGGATAAATTTAGGTCAACCAGACCCTGTTTTCAGCGGAACTTGCATTTACTTTCATCTATAGCGAGATTGAAAGTCCAATACTCGGCTCCTAGCGCTTCGAACGTAGTCTAGTTCAACTACCGTATGAAGCTATTTTGCGGAGAGAGGGAAGGTTTAAATTTAAGATGCTCGTATTGTTACCAAAGGAAAGTACAACTTGAAGAATTTTCTTCTCATTCGTTTGAGTTTTTTTCTGGTATTTCTGGTAATTTTTCTGGTATTTCGGCAATTGGTAATTTTTCGCGTGTTCCATTAAATAAGTAGTCTAAACTTCTTTCTTTCATTTCCCTTTGGCAACTCTTACGAAAACCTCGAAACCAAATGATCAGTTAGTATTGTACCAGAAAAAGTTATGATGTTGAGCGGCAGGTTCTGTAACTTGCTATGAGCTAAGTTGAACGTCAAGGGAGTCAAACGAGAATTAAATGAGTGACTGGCGCTGATGTGTCGTGTATTTTTTTAGTAGTATGGAATTTACACATGTAGAATGAACGAATTGTTATGATACAAATTCAATGATTCTTATTGAGATATTAGTATCAACTATCAAGTACTGTAAAAATATTGTCTATCAGCGCGAGACCTCGAGTTTCCGTGCTTACCCGGCTTAACGTGGGTAATGAAGTGCCATGATATATCTATCCTGTCGCAGCTGTCGCGTATCATTTATACAAGGCTTTGGGTTCGAGAGCGCATCTTGATGGCAAATCTTGATATCTGATGACCGTACATGGAAACTTCTTTTAAGCACCATTTATTATTCGTCATCAGTATGTGTCGGCCGAACATTCTGGTGGCTGTGGTGAGAGAAAGTTATGTTCTTTCATAGACTGAAAAGTTTGGATTTATAGTGTTGTTAACATAATATAACAGCGATGTCGGCGCTGAAGTGTAGGCCTGATGTGGTCTGTCGCCGATTCTTACTTTTCGTGACTTGTTCACAGAAGATCGAAAATCGTGTCATTTAACCGGATCTTTTCAGGACTGACGATAGTTTGAAATATCATCTAGACTTCAACCGGGTTCGATATGGTGCTATGCATTTCAAATTTGAACATATATTTTCCATAGCTTTATCTAGTCTGTTCTTGAACGCGTTCATACTGGGAGCACTAACGACGTAATCGGGGAGGCTGTTCTACGTCGGTGATTCGAAGCGAGAAGAAATGCCGCATGGATAAGTTGCAGCGCAGTTTTTTCAGAGTATTTGTTCACTTGTGTACAGAGTATTTGTTCAATTTGTGTATTCACTTCAGAGTATTTGTTGTCCAGATTCGTACTTACGTAAAATCATGATATTCTATGAATTCTGGCAAGGCTCCTCAAGCAATGTCATTCGTTTTGTCTGGCCATATATTTACTGTATAGCATACTTCGTTGACGAAAAGTTGTCAATTAGATACTATGTTAATTTAAAGTGGTACGTCGTACAATAACAATGGCGTTTACTTCTCAGTTGGGAGAGTTTTGTGTTTGTTGTTTCTTATCTTCGACGGAGAATTTGTCAAGACACTGACTATTGGCCAGCAGGCTTCGGGATCGCGAAGCTCAACACCTGATCCTTCAACTGCTTGGAATCTTGAACGCTTGCCCTGACAGGTTGACTTGGTCCCCCGTCGATATAATTCATGTTCACGGCCGTTAGTTGGTGTGTAGCATATATTTATTTTGTGCGTGGCTATGTCATGTTAGCCTATGCGGATTGATTCTTGACTTGCATAAAATCAGCTAGTGATTTCAATTGTGCCAGTGCAAAGCAACGACAGCATAATTATTTAGTGTTTTTTATTCATCATCGTTCCGTTAGCCCAAAACGGTTACACCTCTTTGACCGGTGACGCTGAGCCTTTCTTGGCCACTCAGCGTCTAAAATTAAATGTCTAAATGTAAACAAGGGTTAGTCAATGGTGCGTACTGCACACACGAATCATAAACTAGTACTATTGACGATGACGGAGTTATCTTT